GCTCTGCTGGCTCATGCCCACTAGGGTGCTTGTGAAACCTTCGTCTAATTCCAAGCTCTGGCGAGCCCATTGGTGCCCCGACACTGTTTCCTGTCCGTATGAACCTGGGCACACGCGTGCCACCAATGGTATGTATTGGGGGCAGCGCATATATGCACTGACGTATATAGACCTCCTTCCGAAACAGAGTGTGCATATGTTGTTAAACGTCTCACGCTCGCAAGACTTCCCCGAATAACGTCCACTGTGCTGTGCGCGGCTGCAGTGTTGAACAGAGTATCATGTTCATGTTCCTGCTGCCGATATTCCTGATCGGATGTCTCTTGACACGAAAACCCCTCCCGAAATGTGACCCCCCAGAACAAAAACCAGCCTCCAGGATCCCTAGCCCTGGGGCCACGACTCCGAGAGCCGCCCACACGAGAAACACACCTCAACCTCCTCGATCATCGATCCTCTCTCCTCCTCGCCGCTCGACTTCCAGAGGTGCTGATGACCCCCCTAAATGCTGACCCCCCCTTTGCACTGCCCGAACCCCATCCGACGCACTTTCCACTGCGTTCCCCACACCTCCCGGGCCTCCTGGACGCCCCCGCTAAACGGCCGCGGGGCGTGCGGTGGCACGGGCCGCGCGCGCCGAAGCCCTGCGGCTGGAGGGGGGCGGGAGAGCTAGGCCAAGGGCGGCCGCCACGTCGATGTCCACCTCCCCCACCTGGCTGGGATAGGATTCCCTCGGAAATTCATAAGATTCCTTGGGACATCCATGGGATTGCCGAGGAAATCCATGAGATGCCTTGGGATATATATATATATATATATATATATATATATGTACATACATACATATATATATATATATACATACATATATATATATATATATAGATACACGACTGCAGCGGCACTTCGCGCCATGCACCTTGGTCCTTGAAGTTTGGTTTGCAGGCGGAATAGCAAGAAGATCAAGCCGACAATTTAGCGATAACTCCTTGTCGCTTTTTCCGGCATCGCCGTTATGATAATGATATTCGTTATCCTTCCTCCATGCTTCTTTTTCCGCATGTTCGCCATACCCTGCGCATTCTCCCTATCCTCATCAGCTTTTTTTTTGCGGAGGCTCCTCCTGGGAGAGCCTCTGGGGGCCTAAAACAAATTGTCTCAGGCTTTCTTAAGGCCTTCTGGAGGCCTCCTGGGCGTATTCTAGGGGCCTCTGGGGGCTTCCCCGGGCCACCCTGCCTCCAACCACGGTCTCCCTGAACGACCGGGTCACGATTTGGAATGCTTCGGAGGGTGTCTTGGGGCCATCTTGGGCCGCCATGGGGCTCTCTGAGGGCCATCTTGGACCCGTGTTGTGCCGTTTTGGGGCTCTCTTGGGCTGCCTGGAAGCCGTTTCGGATGGTTGTGGGGCGATTTGGGAGCCTCCCAGGTGGCTTCGGACGCCCAGAAGACCGCCGTCTTGGAGCGTCGGGAAGCCGAAAAGAGGAGAACCCCAAAGTTCACCAACAACTGCCAGAAAATCAATGATTTTTGCTTCTTGGGAGTGCTCTTGGAGGCCTCTTTGGGGCCGTCCTGGAGGCCTCTTGGGCCATCTTGAGGTCACGTCGGTCACTCTTGGAGCGCTCTTGCGCTGTCATGGGGGTCTCTGAGACGTCTCCGATGATTCCCCTGATCGCCCTAGGTGTGCTGGGAAGGCTTGGCAAAACGCCCTGCGAGGCCAGGGGGGCCGCTTCGAGGCCCGTCCGGAGGGTTCCAAAGCCCCAGATCCCGGGAGTCTGGTTTTTGAGGGGGGGGGGGGGATGGGTTTTCCCCCCGCCCGGGCTCATAAAAATATAAGAAGAGGAATATATAGGAATCCTGAGGAAGTCCATAAAACATCAGTAGGACATCCATAGGAGTCCTTTGGCAATGCAGAAGTTTCCTCAGGACAGCTCCATAGGAATCCTTAAGAAGTTATATGGATTTTTGCGGAAATCCATAGAAACCATTGGGACATTCATCGGGTTCCTTAGGACATCCCATGGAATCCTTGATAGACCCATAGGATTCCTCAAGGGGGCGGGTCTGGCGGCGGCGGAGAAGGACAAGAGGTGGAGCGCAGAAGGAGGAGGCAGAGGACGAGCTCGCAATCAGATCGGATGTCGATCCCGTGCCTGCACCGCCGCCCGACGCCCGACAGACCACATGAGTTACCAAGCAAATCACTGTACAAACACTCCTCATGACCGCGCACCTATGGTTTCAAATGGTGTTGCTGCTTATCCCCTGGTGCAGGCTGAACCAGCACCTATGCTTTAAAGTTGTGTTAGTACCTATCCCCGGCGCAGGCTGAAGTAGCTGCCATCTGCGGCGCACCTACTTGTAGAGGCTCCACGTGTAGGACGCGAGACGATATTCAGAAACCCGGCCCTCATGGTCAGGACCCATTCCTCGGGTGTGGTTTGTCCCCGGGCTCATGTTTTTCTCTCGCGAACACAAGATTTCGATTCGCCAGGGCTGATGTCACAATGCGTTTCTAAAAGTCGCCAGGGAAACCGGGAACACTCCACGAGCCTACCTGCAATAGGCAAACGTTTGCAGTGATCCGTGGCCTCAGAAAGCAAAATGGGCGTGCAAAAAACACATCGCGCGGACGAGGTCGAGGAGGGGGAGGACGGGGGAGGAGGGAGGAGTCAGGGAGGAGCAAGCGGAATAGGAGAACATGACGGAAGCAGTCACGAGACTGCTCCGAGGAGCGGCTGGCATCCACAAGGCAAACTGGCAGCTCGCGAGTGCGCAGACCGAATCGGACTAAGTCCGCGGTACTCGCACTGAGGTGCCACACGAGCGAAGGAAGAGGAAGCAGGGGTGAGGAGGAGGAGGAGGAGGAGGAGGAGGAGGAGAAGGAGGAGGAGAAGGAGGGGGAGGAGGAGCAGGAGGAGGAGGAGGAGGAGGAGGAGCGAACGCCCCTTAGGAGGAGGAAGAGGAGGAGGAGGAGGAGGAGGGGAGGAGGAGGAGGCAGAGGAGGAGGAGCAGGAGGAGGAGCAGGAGGAGGAACAGGAGGAGGAGGAGCAGGAGGAGCGGTAGAAGATCACGCAGCAACAGAGCATCGAAGCTACAGCAGCATCACAAGCGCAACGGATCCGCCCCTGCTGGCGGGGGCAGCCCCCGAGGGCCACAAGATCCAGGAACGTCTCCCCGGCCGAGCAGCTCGATCGTCGGAGATCTGGGGGGGAGGAGGAGGAGGAGGAGGAGGAGGAGGAGGAGGAGGAGGAGGAGGAGGAGGAGGAGGAGCAGGAGGAGAGCAGGAGCAGGAGCAGGAGCAGGAGGGAGGAGGAGGAGGAGGAGGAGGAGGAGGAGGGAGGAGGAGGAGGGAGGAGGAGGACGGAGGAGGAGACGGAGGAGGGGGGGGCCGCAGCAGCATGTCTTTCCACATTTCCCCATACTTTCTGGGAGTCGACGATTAATTGTGTCTCTGTGTTTTTTGTCCCTCCTGAATCTGGGGGGGGGGATGGGGGGGGGCCACAGCAGCACGAGGAGAGGAGCGCCGCGAGGAGGCCAGGCAGCGACGGCGCGGGCTGGGCTGGGCCGGTGTTGGGTCGGGCCTGTTCCCTGTGGGGGGACTCTTTGGGCGAGAAATTAGAAGCACTCCAAAAAAATACCCCAAAATGATCAAACATACACCGCCGCGACAGTAGTTTGGCCCATGTATCTTGCCGCGGCGAATGAAGGCGAGAGCGTCGCAAGACTTGCGATGGCCCCCCCTCCCCCGTAGACTCCTGCACCAAGCCTTTCACCAAGACGACAAAGCGCAGCGGTTGCGCGGCCACGGCGGAAGGTAAAATACTTTCTACTGGGGTTACTTAGCAGTAACTGTTTATTACAGGGTATTAACGCTTCCGCTCACGGCCGGTGGCCCTCTGCCGCCGCGCTGCACCTCGAGCACTTGAATGGTCGCCGCCGGCCGTCCCCGAACAGGGCGCCGGGTGGCCCTCGGGCTTAAGGCGCCGAGGGGCGCGCGCGAGGCGCGCGCCACGGCGGCACGGGCACCGGCGGGGAGGCCGAAGGGGGGAAGGAGGCGCGCAGGCTCACGTTGCTCCCATCGTACTTGAAGACCACGTCCCAGGCATGAGTTCGAGCACTCTCGAACGAGTGTCGCCTCCCAGGGCCCAGGACGTGAAAACCTTCAAGTTTCGGTAATGTCTTGGTGCTGGAAATCATTTCTGGTGGTCAAGGCTACAGTAGATTGAAACATCATAGGCGTAGGCAGAACGCGGCCCTGGGACGGGTATCCGCGGTCTGTCGGGACGAGCTGCCACTTGCCCCTCATGGGGCAGCCGAAGAGAGAAGAGGTGGTGGGGCGGCCGCGCCTCGGAGAAGGGAAGGAGGCGCGAGGGATGAGGGGGGCCAGAAGGAGGGCCACGGGGGAGTTGTGCTCCTCCTCCTCCTCCTCCTCCTCCTCCTCCTCCTCCTCCTTGTCCTCCTCCTCCTCCTCCTCCTCCTCCTCCTTGTCCTCCTCCTCCTCTCCTCCTCCTCCTCCTCCTCCTCCTCCTCCTCCTCCTCCTCCTCCTCCTCCTCCTCCTCCTCCTTCTCCTCGTCCTCCTCCTCCTCATTGCGTCAGGCCCGTGCGGAGTTGCGTGCCACGGAGGAGCTCTGGATGGGGCACTGCGCGGGCGCCACCCGCGGGCGTGCTCTCGCGCGGGGGCAGCGACCTCCTCTGCTGCGCCAGTGCTGGGAAACCCCAGGCGAGGGGCGCGAAGACGGAGGGGGTTGGGGAGGAGGACGACGGAGGAGAGGGGGTGGGGGGGAGGATGCAGCAGGGAGGGGGGGGGGCAGGAAGGAGGGAGGAGGGAGCACGGCGGAGGCAGCAGGAGGAAGAAAAGGGGGCAGAACGGAAGGGAGCCCCAGCTGGAGCAGCAGAGGAGGGAGCTCGGAGAAGCGGGAGGGAGAAGAAGAGGACGGCGGGAAGGGAAGCCCCACCTGGGTGGGCGACAGCGAGCCGCCGATGCCCACGAAGATCCGCTTCAGCACCGCGTCGGCGGGCAGGCTGGCCACGGAGTGGTCCTTGTCCGTGACGAAAGAGATCTGCGGCACGCGGGGGCGCCCGCGCTGCGTCTGTTCACGGTGCTTCTCCCTCCTCCTCCTCCTCCTCCTCCTCCTCCTCCTCCTCCTCCTCCTCCTCCTCCTCCTCCTCCTTCCCTCCATTCCTGGTGTGCTCGTGTCCTCCTTCATCCCGCCCCCGTCTCTGCACTGCGTCGTGTCCCTGCAGCGCGAAGGCGGCTGGCAGAGGCGTGTCCTATCCTCGGTCTGGGCCGGGGGCTGCGGCCCGCGGGCCAGAAGGGGACTCTTGCAGCAGAGGCCTCGTGCTTCAGTGCGGCGATCTGGCCCCCAGGTCCGCTCCCTGACGCCGGATCCGCCCCACTTTGGGGAAATTCGTAAGTAGGGCTTGGAATTTCCGCCTTACTTGTCAAGCCCCGCTGATGCCAATTTCCGCCCTACTTTTCTGTTGCTGTTTCTGTGGATGTCCGCCCTATTTTATGTTGGGTGCAGCAGTTTCCGCCCTACTTTTTCGGCTCCTTCTGGGTGGATGTCCGACGCAATTTAAAGTTGTAAAAAAAGCCAAAGTAGGGCGGATCTGGAGTCAGGGCTGAGTCTCCTGCGAGGACCCGGGGCTCAGACCCGACTGTCTGCTGAGCCGAAGGACTCCGGTGTGCCAGCACGCCGGCGCCCCGGGCCGCTCTCGGCACCTCCTGTGGGCATTCTCGAAGCCTGTTGGGCACCGCCGTGTGGAGGGGGTTATCTGCGAGGGCATGGTGCGCCGTCTTGAGTCGCACGAGAAGGCCTCCTGGGCCGTCGTGGAGCCCGCTCGGAACCGTCCCGAATTGTCTGGATGGCTTCTTGGGGCCACTCTGACCGGAAAAGCGTAGAAGCCGAGCGTGAACCTCGTGGTTTCTGGGTGAATTTGGGCTGTCAGGGGACTCTTTTGGAAGTCACACCAGGCCTCCAGGCCAAAAGTAGTTTAGCGGGGCTTCCTCTTCCAACCCCCCTTCCACTCCAGAGAAAGGTTTACTGGGACCCCCCCTTGCCCCCGTACCTCTTGGACTGGACGGGGGGGGCGCGACCAGTTAGGCCGTCCAGGATGGCCCAGGATGGCTCCACGAAGGCCCAAGCAATTTCAAGTTGGCTTCCAAGATGGCCCAATATTGCGCAAGATCGCCGAGTGCCAGATATGCCATGACGGAAAGAGCGAGGTACGAATGATGGCGTTCTGGTGCGGCGAAGCCCGCTGGGGAGGGGCTCCAGGCGAGGGAGGAAGCGCGTCCCAGCCCGAGTAGCACGCCCCCCGCCCCACCCCCCACCCCACCAAGACGGCCCAAGAGATCCCCCCAAAACGCCGAAGAGGAGGTCCCCAAGACGGCCCCAGAGAGGTCCAAGTCAGCTCCGAGATGGCCCAAGACCGCTCCAAGAGAGTCCAAGACCGCCCAAGCGCGTTCCAAGATGGCCCAAGATGGTCTCGAGTCGGTCAAGGGGAGGCTCAAGGGGGCCAAATAGGCTCTCAAAAGGACGTTCCAGAGGGCCTCATGAGGCCAAACGCATTGCGTTATGTTTGTTGTGGTTTGAAGGTTTTTCGGACTCTCGCCTGTTTGACAAGCTGGCGAAGTCCCAAGGCGGTCGAGAAGGCCCCAAAGATCGCCCCAAGACGGACCAAGAGACCCCCCAAAGAGCGCCAAGGCGGCCGAAGAGGGCCCCAAGACGGCCCAAGAGGGCCCCAAGAGGCCCCAAGAGAGCCCCAAGAGAGCCCAACAGGGCCTCAAGAGGGTCCTAAGAGGGCATCTGAGGCCCCCAAGGCGCCCCCAAACGGCCCCGCAAGCGCTTCAAAACGGACCCCAAGAGGCTCCCGAGAGGTCTCCCGCGACATCCCCACGAGCATCCTAGAAGCCTATGGCCCACAACCCAGGCACGGCGGCGGATGCGCCGAAGGCCTATATATCTAGAAGTATGTATGTATGTATGTATATATATATACATATATATAGATATATCGATATACACAAATATTCTCAGACACACATACAACGATGCATAACTGGAACTGAGAGTATACATGTGTATAAATATATATATATATATATATATATATATATATATATATATACGCAAATGAACATAGTTGTACATATATTCATATGTGTGATTACATACATATGTTTCGCGAATGTGTATATATATAAAGATCACACTCACCTCTCCGAAAAAGTAGAGCTTAGAAACAATTAATGGCACCCGTCCCGCCCGCGATGTGTTTGACAATTTCGCTCGGGACATCTTCGCAATTTTGAAAACCGGACGCCCCCCTCACGCAGATTGCGACTACACAGTCCAAAAGCGCAGCCGTGTTCAAAAATCTCAGAACACCTTCAGCAACAATGGTTTTCAACGATGCTGGGCGTCGCTGTTCGAAACGCAGCGGTTTCGCGTGAGGCATCCCCCCATTCTAGTGACACCCTCCAAGCACTGGCGTAGGAGCTTCTCTTCAACTGCAATCGAACGGTGTGGAACGCCCTCCTGCGCCACACACACACACACACGCACACACACACACACACATTCACACACACACACACACACGCACATCGCAAGAAAGGACAACCCCACCTGCGTTCGACTGCGAATCCGCTGCTGCGCCTTCTTGCCAACAACCCCCTGGTGATCCTCAAGAACTTCATTCTCTCCGTTCTCCTCTGCTTCTCCATCTCCTTCCTCTTCCTCCTCGGATCTGGCTTCATCGTCCTCTTCATGTCAATTTCCTGCGATGCTTACGTTCTGCAATTCTTTTTGTATGAGCCTGGGCACGCACTTGCCACTTGTATATTACGTGAATAGGCCGTATGACATGAGATGGCATGGTCGAGCAGACGCACGTCGGCACACATCAGAATCCAAAGGCCTTCTGGAAGGCCGGGGCTCCAGGAAGCTCGGCACGGATGACGTCGCCGATGCACGGCTCGATGATGTCGACGAAGTGGGAGCCGAACTCGGCGGGCTCGTCAATCTCCTTTCAGGGGGAACGTCTGAGGGACAAGGAACATCGACCTGCAATGGTCGATACATCGCCGATAACTCGGGGATTGTCCCCCGACACCGAATCCACACGCTGGGTGGGGTGGGCTATCAGGCCCCATCGGCGTTCAGTGGGCGATTGGAGGTCGATGCATCCCCCCCAGAGTCTTTTCTCTCAATGATCCTCGTCATCCGGCCTTCGGGTCATCACTCGCGCCTCACGCGGCCGCTCGGGACGATCCGGGCAGCCGCAGAACGCTCTCGACGAGACGCAGCTGATGAAAACCACCCCAGAACTCTGATGGGCCTGTTTCCCACCACCACCACCGTACCACCCTAACTTGGAGGGGGGAAGGAGGATGAGGACGAGGAGGAAGAGGACGAAGAGGAGGAGGAGAAGGAGGGGGAGGAGCAGGACGAAGAGGAGGAGGAGGAGGAGGACCCCCTCTCCCTCCAACTTATGGTGGTGGTGGTGGAACACAGGCACATCAGACTCGACACTTTGGTGCAGCTTG